ACACACACACACACACACACACACACACATATATATATATATATATATATATATATACATACACACACACACACACATATATATATATATATATATATATATATATGTGTGTGTGTGTGTGTGTGTGTGTGTGTGTGTGTGTCGGCGAATTAGCTCAGTCGGTAGAAGTGCCATGTCTCGTGCAGTGCAGTTACGCAATGGCCTGGTTCGAATACAGTCGGTCCGAAACTCGTAGACTATGATTACGTCATGCGCGTACGATGCGGTGCTAGCACGTGCATACATACGTGTGGTGTGGAGTGGAGCGTGTACCAGTCTTTGTATGTGGCGAGAAGGTTTAAATGCAGGGATGATATGAAAAGCGGTTCTGCGTATGTCAGAGCCGCATAATAAAGAGCAAAAAGAATGTGTGTGTGTGTGTGTGTGTGTGTGTGTGTGTGTGTGTGTGTGTGTGTGTGTGTGTGTGCGGATGTGATCATCGATCACACACGCGTATACAGATACATACTTAAACAAACATTGGCTTCCTTAAAAGTTATTAATCCACCTTTTACAAAGTGACCACAAGAAAATATCACACACACGCACACACACACACTCACGCACACAAAATACTGCAATGATGATTGTTAACAGGTAACCTGGTAACAGTGAAACGGTATTGGTGGTCGTGGTGGTAGTAGTAGTACTTAAAATAATAATAATAATAATAATAATAATAATAACAACAGCGTTGATGATGATGATGACGAAAATTGAGATCAACCAGAAACACTTAATAACTTTTCTACTCGTTAACAACGAAAACAACATATCCAAATCCATTCATTCGTTCATCCGGCTTATTCAAGCATTCATTCATTCTTTCATTCAATCATTCATTCGTTCATTCAATCATTCATTCGTTCATTCAATCATTCATTCGTTCATTCAATCATTCATTCGTTCATTCTTTCTCCAATTTGTTTGCAAATACACACAAACACGCGAGCACTTTTATTATTATTAACCTTATATCATCATCATCATCATCGTCATAATTATTATTGTTGTTGTTATTATTAAAATGAATTCGAATGAACTTCGAGCTCAGCTTTAGAATCACAATCGGCTTAATACTTG